AGCGTCCATTATTTGAAATCATAGTAGGAAGGACCCAGCAATTTCAAATCATAGTAGTTCCTTTCGGTTTCGGAAAACATGAAATGTTAGCGGCTCCGCTGCTCCAGCTAGAAGCACTAAAACTCTGAAAATAACAGAGAGAAAGATGAAACTGCTCCTGATTTATAGAGATGAGGACCTCAAGTATTGGTCCACTTTCCCCTCTTTTTGGCAAAAAGGGGGAGGAAGGCACGTAAAAGACATTTGATACACACTTTACATACAGAGAGAGAAAAAGGGCCACAAGTCACAACTCACTCTTTATGTGGTTGTTTGAATCAATTAACTTAGATTCATTGACTTCAGTCAATGAATAACTGTCTTGACGCCAGCTTTGGCTGGATTTAGGCTTGCCAGAGTTCAGATGCAAGAGGCGAATAACTGGAGTTGAACCCGTGTTTTCAAATTCACAATCTGACACTTTGACCTATTAAGTTATATTCGCCGTGGTCCCACAATCGAGTGGAAAAAAAAAAGGGGCATAGATTGTGAAACGGTGCTAAGCCCCTCACTGAGTGTACTGGTCTTTCCTTATTTCACCCAATCGTGACGGTGGTGACTCGATGGTAGCCACTTATCAGGGTGGTGACTAAGTGGTCAAGTACTGCTGGTCTTCTTTGAGCACGTGCTCGAAATTTTGTTTGTCATAACGAGAAATTTTCACACAGTTAGAGCACACCGGCTCTCGACCTAAGGAACGACAACATAGTCACAAAGTTGAATACTGGGTAAACGGGTCTTTCTGGACCGATGGCTATGGACCTGGAACTGAGTGTCGGTAAAGACCATAATCCCCAGCCGGCTAATCAACAAAGTACCTACCTTTCCTTCAATACAACTTCCGAATGCAACAATTCAAACCAAAACATACTGTCGCTATTGATGTCCCAAGGGAAGCAGCCCTCCATGGTCAACCCCGTGCTTGTCATCTTTCTGCATCCAAGCTGCGGAATGACACGCATCATGCATCCTATGCTCACCACATGCACAAACGAAAAATATGGCAGTGCATCTTCCCATGTTCTATCGAAAGATTCATTCTCATTTTGCACATTCGATGAGTGTGGAGTGAGGCCCTATTCCAGTAGGCGGAACCATAATGGGACACAATGGGGGTGGACCTGCATCCCAGCTGCAGAAGAGAGATGGACCTGCCAGGACCAGATATTGAACCAGAACGGCCACAGCAGAACAGACAGGACATAGCCCAAGGACTCGAGGGTTGTGTTTTCCTATTACAATAAGCAAAAGACAACAGGCAGCGCCGAACAATGCCAGGAGAGTTGTGTTTTCCTATTAAAAAAACAAAAGAGAACTTGAGACAGGGGATCCCAACAGTGACTCGAGGGTTGTGTTTTCCTATTTTATAAAGCAAAAGAAAACAGGCGGCATCGGGAAATTCCAGGAGGGTTGTGTTCTCCTATTTAAAAAGGTCAGAGAGAACAGGCAGCACTGTGCAATGCCGAGACAGGGGATCACAACAGAGATGGACCTAGTCACAACATGCGACACCAGCAGATGTCACCTTTTCGCTTTTTATTTTTCTTCAAGGGGTTAGGAAGCACCCCAAACAGCATTGCATCCATCTGATTCCATGAGGATTCAGAACTCGTGATGATCCGCTTACTCGCAGGTAGATGTGTGTACTATTCCGTCAAAGTCAAATTGACTTCTTTGACCAGACCACATCTGGACAGGCACAGAAGAACTAGGTAAGACCCCAAAAAAGAAGAGAAATGCAGTCAAAGTCAGAGGGGCTGCTTTGACCAGACCACATCTGGACAAGAACAGAAGAACAAGGTAAGACCCAAAGAAAGAAAACAAAAAGAATAGGAAGAAGTACGTAAGAATAAGGCGGAGGTGGCTGGGACTTGGGCTGGAGAGGTCAGACCAAACAATATAAGACAACACCCGATCAGACCAGACCAGACCAGACCAGATCAGATCAGAGGAAACAGCAAATGCACCCGGCAGGGCAGAGCACTTTCATGAACGTATCTGACTGGAAAGACCGCCTGACCTGGATTTATAAGACCGGAATAGCAGCCTAACCTGGATTTATATGACCGGAATTACAGCCTGCCCTGGATGTACCTGACACCTCTCGGAAGGATAAGGTCATATCCAGCGTTGTCATCAGGGGATCCCCGGGGCCTGGGACGGGGTGGGGGTTTTACCCCCAAACCCCTGCAGCGGGGACCACTGACCCCCGCACCCCGCCATCCAACCCCCGCCCCCGCCCCAACCCTGCCA